CCGTCGTCGCGGAGTGTGACGTCACGCACCTTTACGGGACAAGGACCGCCCCCTTTTCGGCTGACCTGCCTCGTTCCCTTCCAGGAGCCGAGGGAGGGAGCTCCCCCTACCGCTCGAGCGTGGGAGCGGCACCCTCGGCCCGCGTGCCCCGGTCGGGGGGGGGCGGGGCGTGCTGAGCTGGGGGATTCTGGGAGAAGGAGTCCAGGGGAATTACTGAAAATCAAAATGAAAGGAAGTGGGGAAGCCCACAAGCAGGGCATCAAAGGGGAGCATGCAGCCAAACTAGGCTTCCAGCCGGAACTCAGTGGTAGACTGCGTCTGCAGGTGGAGGTTCCATCGATTTAGCACAGCAGAGAGTTGCTGCATCCAAGGGAGCCCCCCCCCTCTGAGGCAGCCTCCTGTTCCCCACGGCCTCTGGGGAGCCGACCGAACCCCTTCTCCTGCTGCCTCTGCCCCCTTTTCCCTTCTGCCTAGCGGCACCATGGAAGAGCATCTTCTTTCTTCTGTCCAGCCCTCGCCGCTCGCCTTTCTCAGCTTAAACGTTTCAGAGGCCAAGGATGTCTTTCCCCCAAAAACAGACAAATGTTTTGTACTAAAGAGCGGGCAGTTATTCCAAAACAGTCCTAACTGGGGTTTTTTTTAATGGATAGCAGTGGTTCCTCCTTCTTGTGAACCCTTGGCCCATAAAGTATACTGGAAAGGAGCTGACCCATAAGATGACAAGGTTTTCCTCATCCTTCCCACCGGAGGTAAGCGGGGCAAGGAGTGAGCCAGCTAGCCGTCTCTGTGTGGAAAACATGCACACTCCTGCCTGCCTGTGAGCAATAACTGTTCCCGGCTGGCAGCACGTGGGTTTCCCAGACTTCCACCACGCACAGCAGCTCTTGGTAGACCGCTCCTTTTAAATGTGATTTTAGAGGTTGATTTTAAAGGATCCTTCTTCTAAGTACTGTAACTGGTGGGCCAGTATAGACCCTCTCCTTCCTTCCCAGCCCTCCTTGATACCTCCTCTCCATCCTAAAAGCTGCAGTGCCCACATCCGGCGGGAGGTGGTGGCCTCGGACTCCCTTTGCCTCAGAAAGAGCTGCTCAACCACCTGCTGAAGGGGAAAGTTCCCTGTGGCGAAATCAGAAGCCAGGGTGTAAACAGAAAGCTCAGGCAGGGCCCGGGAGAAAAACAGAGCCTGGAAGCAAAAGCCGGTCGGTCGGTCGTGGGCACCCGGACCAGCTCTGGTGCAAGCCAGAACTTGGGGAAGTTGCTCTTGGGGACTACATCTCCCAGCGTGCCCCAGCCACTTTGGGGCTGCAGTCCTCCAAGCTAAAGGGAGAGGGAGAAGAGAGTTGGATTCTGTAAATTGCAAGCCAAAATGTAACTTTTCCAAGCTCTAGTTTAAGCCAAAAGGATGCAGGGGCCAGCCTCTATTTGGACACCTTGCAGGCTGGCCATGGAAACCTCCCCTGCGCCTCCTGTACTTCCGACTGCCAGAAAGACCCTTCCCAAGTAGTCTTCCCACCAAGAGAGGTCGATTCCGTGGGAGGCAGGAAGGGATCAGAAGAGGATGATTCTCTTTCTCTCTCTCTCTGGCTGCAGAGGAGGTCAAAGAGCTTGGTACCCAACGGGGCTGTGATCTGTAGCATCCTCTTTCTCAGGATTCTGGTGGCGCGAGGGGGGGGAGGCTTTGCACCCAGGTCTTATCCCTACTTCCCCCCCCCCTTGGAGGATGGCAAAGTCCTGGGGGCCTCACATGTGTTCTACTCGTCGACTTCCTCCTTTGAGTTCAAGCTAAAACAGCTCGTGAGCCCACGAGCGCCCAGTGAATTTCAAGGCCAAGATGGGATTTGAACTCAGGTCTTCCAAGTCATAATCCAGTACTCTTGCACCACCTTGTCCCTCTAATGCTCCAATATGCTGCCTTCCCCCCTCCCCGCCCCCATTGCTGAAGTCCTCCCCGGCTAGGCTATGGGGATGGAGAGCGAAGCGCAGCTTCTCTGGCTGAGCTTCCAGTTCCCTCCCGAGGGAAGGGCCGGCGCAGGCCGACGCCTGGCACCGCGGAGAGAACAGCTAATCCCTCGTGCAGGAAGGATCTCCCTGCAAGGAACTGACAAGTACACCCAGCGCAACCCGAGGCAGGCAGATGGGGAGAGACCGGCAGGCTGGTCTGGGACGCTGGCAAGCAGACTGACCAAGGAGGATGGCGGGGTGGGGGTGGGGGCTCTGGGGGGCTCGCTGGGAGACCCTCGCAAAGCCCCAGGGGGTGCGGGAGGCAGCTGGACCTCCTGAAAGCAGCACCACAGAGCACCTGCCGCCCCCTTTTCCTTATCGCTGCCTTCACGGGAACACCATCAACGGGGTTCCTGCTCCCCGTTGGGTCTTTCTCAAATCGGGCTGGCCCTAGACCGCTCCGACTCAACCTGCTGTGTCTTGGTCTCTGTCCCAGCACGGAGGTGGAGGAAAGGACCCAGGGGTCCTGGACTCTGCGCCCCCCCACGCAGGCACCCCCACCCCAGGCTTCTCCTCCACTTTTCCCTCCTGCCTGCCTGCCTGCCTTCCCTGGAAAGGTTTGGGGAACTGTCCATCGTAAAAGTAACTTTTCCAAGCTGTGTTGCTGATGTGTTGTTGTTGTTGTTGTTGTTGTTGTTGTTGTTGTTGTTGCTGCTGCTGCTGCTGCTGCTGCTGCTGCTGCTGCTGCTGCTGGTGTTGGCGGCGGCAGAGGTGGTGGTGGTGCTGAAGGGCAGGGCGCAGCCGGGCACTTCCTCCTCCTTCTCCTCCTCGGCATCAAGTTGGATCCTGCAACAAGGCAGGGGGAGGCCCAGGAGGAGAGAGAGAGAGAGAGAGGCTGTGAAGCCCAGAGGGCGAGAACAGCATCAAGGACTCATCCTGACACACCGCCAGAACCAAAAGAGGTGCCAGGTTTTCACAGCCCTGAGGGTTCAGGTTCCTTCCTTCCTCCATGAGAGAAAACAAAACTGCTGGGTTTACACTTCTGTGCTACGATCTGGACCCTCCCCTTTTTTGCATCTGAGCCAGGATGCGACCTATAATGCCAGCGGTGAGGTGCTTTGCACAAGGCTCAGAGCAAGCAGGGGCGCTTCCTCTTACTCTGGGTCTGGGGTTTGCTTCTGGCCTGGAACTCTGGCCCGGTGGCTGCCCCCCTCCTAAGGCAGAGGGAGGGGGGTTGTCCCCCCCCCCCTGTTTCCATCCAGTCCAGAGAGGCACTCTGCATATGCTCAGAGAAGGGGAGGTTGGCTCTCATCGGCCGCCTCCAGTGGCTCAGCAGCCTCTGCCGGCCTGACCCGGAAGGCGAGGTCTCAGCCCTCATCTGAGTGGAACCACCTTTGAATTGCAGATAAGCTGAAGACGGGCAAGGAGGGCTCTCTCTCGGGGACGCCTCTGGAAGCAGACCTCCAGAAAGCCAGCAAACGGCCTTTCTCCTCTAAACACAAGGAGGGGTGAAAGGAGAGCCTGAAGCCTCGCCCGTCCAGGATGCTGAGGCTGGAGCAAAGTCTCTGGAAAGTCCCAAGGAGGGTGGGGGAGGCAGGCAGGCAGGCAGGCACCAGGACGCCCGCCCGGGTTCAAAGCACTGGGCTCCGTGCCCATCCTGGCCTCCCTCCTCTCACCACCCAGCGCCCAGCTTCTCTTTCCCAGGGCAAAACCAGCTGAGCAAAGAGACAGACCGGGGTAGCTGCAGAGAAGCCTCCAGCTGCTGGCGCACCCAGAGGTCCCCAAGATCCCCCCCCCGAATCCTGAAAGAGGCGCTCCTGATGGGAGGAAAGAATGGCTCTCTCCGCCAGCGGCTGAAGGGATCGGAAAAGGGATTTCTGTAACCTTCTTATCTCCCCTTCCGTATCTCCAAGGAAAAAGTCAGCTGCTTTTGATGACTCCACCTCGCCCGGCCTTGGCCAGCTTCGCACAGCTGAGAAGGGGGTGGGGTGGGGGAAAACACCTTCTCTTCCCCCAGGGCTCAGTGGACTGCAGGTGTGGGGGGGGCAGTGAAGGAGAGGCTGATGCCTCGCCTGCCACAGCAGTCAGTGGGTCTGCCTGCTTACCCCAAACGAGGCACTTAAAAACTGATGCACTTAAAAACTTCAGCTTGCCTAGTCTTTATTAGCTGCCACTATCCCTCACTCACCTCCTCTTATTCATATCAACTACCCAAAGGATAAGGCCCAGGAATTTCTTGAGAAATACAAGATTCAACCCTACAACGCTAGAAGTCTCACATGTCAGGCTCAGGTTCCCTCTGAGCACGTGCAGAGTGTTTCTTTATTGAATTACTACCTGGCTCACACAACCACAGCTATTTCCAGCATCAGTCAAGCTACACGCTCTCCAACTGGCCCCAAAACAGGCATGTCTTGTATTTTTGGCAGGGTGGGATATTCCTAAATGCTGAAAAATCCCCAGTCCTCATCCTCAGCACTGCCACCCCAGCACTGTGCTGTAACGGAAGCAGACCAACATGGAATCTCTCGCACCCAGGGGAGAAGAAAAAGATTGTTGTTTTGTTTTGTTTTGTTTTAAAAAGTGTGTTCATATGGAAAAGAAACAAAGAAACATCAAGTAGCACACGCACACAAGGTAGAAATGTTCCAGTGTGCATAGAGATTAGGCAGGTCTCATACATGTGTCTTTGGGTCACAGGAACGTTTGCAGCGCACAAACCCCCATCAGCTCTAACAATCCTTTAAAATTTCCCCAGATTTGTCAGACACCTATATTTCCAAGATTTTCCAGGATAGAGAGGGGGGGAAACCCTGCAGCAGGTGTCCTCATTCACATTGGAAGCAACCAGTTCAGGGGGAAAGAGTGACTGGCTGGAGAATTTTAAAGGCAGGCCACCCGACTAGCGGTCACCCAGTGGCAATTTGGGGGGGGGGGGGAACGGATCCATGGTTGAGTTGCTGAGGGTCAGCTGAGCGCCAGCTTCTTCTACCCAACGAGGAACAGGGAGGCGAAGACAAGACTGGGAGGCTTCAAAGACTCTTCCGCTCGGCCTCCTAAAGCTCAGTGCAAATAAAAAATGTGTGCGCGTGTGCATGCGTGAACAATGAATGCACACCATCCTGCTGGTAAGGGAGGCCTGGAGACCGGAAGAGGAAGCGGGCAGGTGAAAAGGCAGCAGCGGTGTGCAGCCGCCATGGCGGGTTAAACGATAACGCCCTTTAAGCCCACCTTCACGGATTCATTTGTCTTAAGCAAAATCCACCAAGAGTTCCCCTTTGCCCAGCCCCCTGGAATATCTGGTGTCCGTCTCCTCCCCCAAACCCGCCAAGTTCAGTATTTGAATTTTGGCATCAGAACTCAAAGGTTTACCGGAGAGGAATGGAAAGCCACCCGCTTGAGAGACAACTTTGCTTCCCTCTTGCCGGGGAGGGCGTCCCTCTTGTTCGCGGTCTCTCCTAAACCTAGCCGCGGCCATGTGCGAAGTCCTCCGCAAGGATCAAGGGCCACAGGAAGGCCTTGTCGGGGCCACAGTCCCTGCAGGGTAGAAAGCCCGACTGGGAGCCGGTCTTTTGCCGTTTTCAGCCTCAGTGCCCACTTCAGAAGGAAAGACCCGACTGTGTCACCTTTCCTGTGATGAGGCTGTAGCCCCTCTCACCTGAGAAGGCTGGGGGATTCAGAACTGCAAGGGCCACGATGCTCAGCGGCCAAGGCTGGGATCCTGACCACCCAGCCCCTCCGTCATTCACAGGGATAGCCCCGGGCACCAAGGCAGGAATGCTGGGCCTCGTGTCCAGTCTCTGATGCCCGCCTCGGTCAGTGGGCAGCCCCTTCGGCCCGTGCCCCATAGAGTGTAGGTGCAGCTTGTAGGCAAGGCGCACGGGGAATCTCTCCCCCCACCAGGGAAGCAGGGGCTACCGGACACAAATGCATTTCTTCCACCACGCTTTGGAAAGGGTCCGGAAGCAGCTGATGGGACTCCTTCTCCGCACCTTGGTGCCCGGGTGCTCAGCGTGCCACAGTCCCGCGGCGATGGCCGTGTCAAACACCTCCTTGAGGTTGTGCTGGGTGAGGGCGGAGCACTCCAGGTAGCCCACCATCCCCAGTTTCAGGGATAGCGATCGGGCCGCAGCCGAGGGCACCGGCTTCTCCCTGTGGCGGGAGAGGGCGATCAGCACCTTGACATCCTGGCGCAGGTCGGACTGAGTGCCCACGAGCAGCACAGGCGTGGCAGGGCAGTGGCGGCGCACCTCCGGGTACCACTTGTCAGCAATGTTCTGGAAGGAAGTGGGCGCCACCACGCTGAAACAGAGCAGGATGACGTCCGCCTTCGGATAGCACACCCGGCGCAGGGTGTCAAATTCATCCTGCGGGGAGGGAGGAGGGAAAGGGGGGATAAGCCAAGAGTCCGATCACTCTCCTTGACCTGCCTTACAAAAGGAAAGAGACTCCCCTACACACACACAAACACACATCCCACACCCAGAGAGGGTCTTGCATCCATAGTCCAAACTTAACAAGGTGCAGAAACATCTCCAAGGCGTCTTGTGGCCCCGAAAGGAGGAAAGACCTGATAAATCTGAGCTGACCAAGGAGAGAGGGCTTCTGGATGGCCTTCTTCACCGCTTGCATCTTCTAATTTAGCGTAAATACTTTGGCACGAATGCCATCAGTCAATTCTGCCAGCATCTGCTAAAAGTGATGCGAGTTAATAAGTCGCCATTTTTATCCCTCGTTGTGGCCCTCATCACGTCAGCTGCGACGCAATGGGAGAGGCACTCCTAGCTACTCGTTAACTCGTGGCAGTCTCCTGCTGCTGTTTCTGCCATTGCATTTACACAGGTGCAATTAACCCAGAGGACTCTGGGCTTTGTGTCTTTATTTGTGACCAAAACTGGCATCTCCGTAGCAGGGCTGTCCCACGGAAGGTGGAGCCGGCTGGTTTTCTGTGCTCCAGAGGGTAGGACCTGAACCTCAGAAGGAGGAGAAAAGAGGCCACAGCTACACCTCAGAGGAAAAAAAGGTGAGAGCCAGACCATCTGCCTTGGGAGACTCTGGATGACCATCCCTCCAGAATCCTTTGCCTGCAAAGCGACCTCCTCAAATAATATGTAGGTGTCCCCATCCCCTTCTTTTGAGTGGGGTGCCTTGGGACTGTGTGCAGCTGGCACAAGGCCACCCAGGCTGGCTCTACTCCCAAGAGACACCGGGGTGTGTGTGTGTGGAATCAAACTCCCAACCTCTGGCTCTGCAGCCAGAGACCTAAACCACAGAGTTATCCAACCAGCTCTGTAATTCTTTGAAACATCTCACATGTTACATAAACTCTTCGAAATGATGCAACAACCCACCGTGTCCATTGTTTTCAGCTCGAGGGTCAGCAAGTGCACACGCTGCCCTGCTAAGCTGCAGAACAACGTCACATTGCTTGGATTAATGAACTAAACCCACAAGCTGTATTGTTATTTTTCTTTTTCTTTCTTTAATGATTGCTTCATTTTTGTGAACTACCTTCCTGGTTTAGCGTATTGCGAGATGACTCATACAATCACACTGCAGCTCAGCAGATCAAGCCTAAGTCCTGCTTGTATTCCTCAACGCCCAAGCATTCCACCACTGAGTTGAAAATGCAGTCCCCTGTACATATGCAGAGCGCCCTTCCCTGTCATAGTCAGATTTTAGGACAGACCCTGGAAAGGACAGGGCACTTTTTCTAAATATGCCAGGAGCTACAGACGGCTGCAGAAGGGCGTCAGGGCAGCAGACAAGAGGGGTGGACAGGGGAGCCTGGCAGCTGGTTCTTAGGTGAGAAAGGAATTTTGGAGAGCTGCTTAAAGAGAAAAGAGGGCCCAGCCACTCCCTCTTACCTGTGAGTATTCTTAAAGTCTCTGAAGGGGGGGGGGAGAGAGAGTTGCTAAGTAAGAATGTCACAAAGTCATTAGCAAGGGGGTGGTCTGGCAATGACTGCTCACCATCTGAGCAAGGACAGGCCTCATCCTGACACTTTGGGTCAACACACACACACACACACACACACACACACGCACACATAGAGCTGCATAGGTCAACCCCTCCTCCCCTCCCCCCCAGGTTGAAGTACAGGATTACCCTGTACTAAATCCTGCTGCCTCCACGGGGCTTATTCTTTCCTCCAGCCCGCTCTGTGCAGGGCTGGGGAGCTTGATCCTTCCCTTCCCTTTTTAAATACATTTATTAAACAAACATCCGGCCTAAACAACATAAACCTAACACCACAATAAAACACATAATACACCAGTGCCACCCTCACCCTCAGGGCTAGCATGAATAATATTTTATAATTTCATTCAGTTCATTTTCTCTCCCAAACGTCATTGTTTCTTCCCTCCCTGTATACCCCTTCCCTCTCCGAAATACTTGTAAATATTCCAAGAATACACTCCATATTTTCTTAAAATCATTATTTTTTGACAGGCCTCCTCCTATTTTAATATCACATGTCCGTTTATCATTAATGCCCCTACCCCATAGTTTTCTATACCATTCCTCTAAAGCGATCCTTCCCTTTCCTGAGCGCGCCCCCCCCCCGCCCTTTGAAGGAACGTCGTCGTCGGAGGGCCGAGCAAAAGCTTGGACGGCCTTGCCGACCTTGGAGCGGACCCGCGGGCCAGGATTAGGAGCNAAGCGGGCTTTGAGCAGCCGAGGCCACCTTTACCTGCCCTGCGGTGTCCGACAGCTGGAGCCGGATGGGGGTGTCGTCCACCTGGACGATCGCTGGGGGAAAGGAGAAGAAAGAGGGTCAGGATTCGGATCCGCTCGCCCCACATTTCCCTCGCCAGCCCCCACCCCAAGTCGTGCAACAGGGAATCCGCGCTCCTCTTCGCAACCACCGCGATCCGGATGCTGCCGGGATCCCAGCCTCGCCGCCGCCAAGAGGGACCCTTGCTCATAGCCTTCCTTCCCCACCCCACCCCCGCCTGCGACGGAGCGGCGGCGCGCCGGCCTCAGCATCCCTCCGGGGCGCTCGGAGGAGCCTGGATCCTGCTTCTGGCCTCAGGAATACGCCTCCCGGAGGCTTGCTCCCAGGGGAACCGGCCCGCGGTGCTTGCTTGCCGGCCGGCCGGCGTTTCCGCCCCGGGCTCCACGGATCCCGGCGGACTTTGCCTCCCGAGGAGACCGACGCCGCCTCCTTCGCTCGGGGGCCGGCCAGGGCCGCGAACAAGGGAGAAGCCGCGGTGCAAGGCAAAGGAGCGGGCGGGCGGGCGGCTGGGCGGGCGCTGGGTGCCCTCCCGGGCCAAATCCGGCCCGCAGCGCCCCGTCGGTGGGTGCGTACCGGAGAAGCGATCCAAGGCGGTGGGCACGTAGCGCGCCGGGAAGCCGTTGGTGCTGTAGCTGAGCGCCAGGCTGGTTTTGCCCACCGCCCCGTCGCCCAGCAGGACGCACTCCAGGCTCCGGAGCG